CAGAAACATTCAAGATTAAGGTTTAGTAGACACCCTGTTATAAGACTCCACTTTCTTTTAACACACTTCGGTTTACATTCGAATGATGGCATTTTCGGGGTCTCCTACCCACAGTGTAAACCATACGGGGCCTCTCCGAGAGCTGTTCAAGAAACGACCATGAATATGACCCTCAAACTTTCAGAATTACAAAAGAGCACCATCGAACCATCCCCACCCGCCATCCCTCACTGATGAGCAACTTCCAAGCTAACAGCGACAACGTCAAAAGCACACACAGGTAAACGGCGTACGTCTCGTAGTTTACTCACATCTCCCCGGGTGGTGGGTGTAAGGAGAGGGGGGGGGGTTGCCGAGGGTCTTTTTGGCCCGGCGTCGTTCCCCAAAGCCCCCGTCTCGGCATCCGCCAGAGGCTCCGAAGGAACTTCCTCCTTCCGGACGAAAAATATAAAAGTCGCGGCCCCTCCACGCACTCACGGCCGAGGAGCCGGTATTACGACCCCACCTTTTTCCGATTAACCGCCTAATGTACCTTGTATGTGTTCTTGCTCTTTGTGAGGGGTCGGAATACTCGCGGGTATATATTTGATTCCTCGAAACAGACTCTATGTTCAGCTCCGGGTGTTTTAAGTCTAAAGTTTTATTTGGAACACTGGAAAAAAACACATTGGATCTAGAGTGCAGACTCTTGAAAACATCGACAAGAAAAAATACTCTTGATTCAATCAGATTTTTGCTTAAATCAAAAGGAAATCCGCTCAAATTAAGAAGCTTGGTTCTTGATTTAAGCAAGAATTCGATTGAATCAAGAGTATTTTTTCTTGTCGATGTTTTTAAGAGTCTGGACTCTAGATACAATGTGGTTTTTTTTTCCAGTGAAGGCCTCCTCACAGTAAGGGAAAGTAACCGACATTTGGGCTACATTTTTTGAAATTAGGAACTACCATTCCTGGCTCATCCGTTAAACCACTCGTGTGCACCGGAAAACTAATGGTATATACGTTGTTTCTAAACTGAGTCAGAATTTATAGTTCCCAATTGCAAAATGTGGTCCATTTACGGGGATTGGAGGACAAGGCGCATAAGTGCAGTTTTTGAAAAAGTTGAGTTATTATCGATTTCAAGTACAACTAGTCTGAATATATAATCTGTAAAAAATTAGAAAAAAATATTCATTGGTTTCTCAGGAAAGTCCTGTTTTATTGAAAAAAACATGGCTATGTCTGAAGGCGCATACAGCGTTCTTCCTTACACGGAGAAAAAACCTCGTGCGTCGGACCCGAAGTTTAGGTCATACGGATCTCGAAAGTTTTCAGATTGAGCATCTGATCACTTTAGGTCTAGCTGTCGAGGTTCGGCTCACACATCTGAAACCTCAGTTCTTACATCTGAAGTTCTTCGGTTTTCACATCCGAAAAACTTCGGTTTTCACATCTGAAGTACTTCAGATGTAAGAACTGAAGTACTTCAGATGTAAGAACTGAAGTTTCAGATATGTGATCCAAACCTCGACAGCTAGACTTAAAGTGTTCAGATGCTCAATCTGAAAACTTCAGGGATCCATATGACCTAAACTTCGGGTCCCACGCACGAGGTTTTTTTCTCCGTGTAGCATGGCAGTATGTCCCCATAAAAACTTCATGCGACTTGTTGCATGTCTGTTTAACTCGATCCATCTTCTGGTCGAGCTTGGAGGGTCAGCGACCATTAGGCTGGGAAGCATGCTATAACACGACGAATACGACGGCGATTAGAAGCGGGCCGGTGAATTTAGGCCCGAATATAGGCCCAAATATAGGCCCGACCATCATCTAACAACGAGCGGACACCGGTTCTCAGATCCGGAATCCGGAGGACCGTGGATGAGCGCTGAACTTTGGAACAGCGCTGCCAACACTCTTCGGAAAGAATCGGATTGATGCTCAGTTCAAAAACGAGTTCATTGAATGTCATAGCATAAAGATAGTTTTTGTTTACTCTCCTGAAATTTTTGATAAAAGAACTTGAAGTTCTAATCTCAAGTAAGCGTGCCCAGAGATGAAGAGACTCTTTGCTGGTCTCTGCGATAGGTTGAAACTGTTACTTTCGGGGATTCAACACTTCCTTATGGACAATTATATGGGGGCAACAGTCATCATTATTTTTCCGGATGTTGACCTTACTTTTAGGTGGATGATGAGCTCCAGGTGCCGTAATGATCTCAACAAGTTTTTCGGTTTGTGGAATATAGCCATAATGTAACATTTTTTGGAAAACTTACATTTTATTGATAAAATTTGACCGAAGCTTTTCGAAGCAAGCGCTTCATCGTCAGGGTCACTAAGTATTAATTACAAAGGCCATAACTTAATTTCAGACAGTGGTAACAGTCGATAACAATTAGCTGATCAAAACACTCTCAATAAACAAAGCACTTTGAATCTATCGATCGTAATCTATCGCATGTTACATTATTTCTACGCTTGGGAACATTTCACGCACCGAAAAATTTGAAGTGCTACTACCTTTTGGACATAGTATAAAAATACACTGTTCACTGAAAAGTGTGCCGGACTTCGGTTTGTCTGCAAAACTAAATCCCGAACACGTTGTTCAACATCCATCCAGTAGGTGAGACAACAGTTGAATGCTTGAGCTCCGAAAGTAAAAGCTTTCACCACTGTCATGATAGTGGAGGGTCTCTTCGTCTCTCTTTGCCGTGTCTCTTTTTTCTGCTGATAGAGAACGCATAAGTTGTATTTATGTCCCTTTGGATATTACAAGTTTTAAGAATGGACCACCAGACAAGGTACGAATTTCAGCATTCTAATACATGTTTCTCAACCAAAATTTCACGTAGAATACGATGCGCAAATCGAATATTACAAAAATCAACTCCTTACGAAGCTATTTAATGATCCTTGATGCGTAAATTCAAAACACCCGCTCATGAAAACTCAATGCTCTACGTGATTCACATCGCGCGCCAAACGTTATCATGACAGTCTCTGCGCGATGTAAAAATCTGGCAACCTCAATCTTGACGCTTTGGCTCAGCTTTAGCAAATTGCCAATAGTTCGAACAACACATGGTGGGAAATGAATATTGCTCGATTAAGAAACTTGCTGAGACCGTTGTCGTGCGCGATTTGACTCACGTAGAGCTTTGAGTTTCTTGTGAGCGGGCAGTTCAAATTCCTCGTAACCAGTGCGAAATAAAAACGTTAATATCATCGTTAGGAGTTGGTTTCAGTAATTATCGTTGCGCGAATCGTGTTCCCTTTGAAATTCTGGTTAAGGAACATGTTTCAGATTTCTTAAATTCGTACCTTGTCTAGTGGTCCATTTTGAAATTTGGCAACCGCGGGTCTTCTCAAAACGTACATCGTAATTTTATGACGAATAAAGCCCCCTGAATACTGGAGACCCCAGTCCAAATAATCAAAACCTCGAAACAACGGGAATACTCCCGAGCTTACAGATCGAAGATCATGAGAAATCCACGTTCCACGGTGTGATGTTAATCTCATCTCCATGCCCGGGATAATAGTCCCGTGTCGTTGGTGACATTTGACAGCCTTTCAGGAGTTTTTTACTGTGAGTGACGCGACTTCGCGGACGAGTCATTGGTCCTGCAGCTTACCATTAAATATAGCCGCTTAGTCATACGATTGAATCTAAATCGCCATGATCAGCTAGCAACACTCCCGTGTCACGGAACTGAGCAGAAAGTGCGTTATTATTTGAGCCACGCTTAGCACCCTGCTCTTATGTACCTTGAGGCTCATACCGAATTGCACTTACTGTTTTTTTTGTAACACGGCAGAACAGGCAAGCGTCAGAGTTTGTCAACGGTCGGTCGTTATTTAAATGTGTGCATCCATGCCACTTTAAATGTTCTGAGAAGTTGTCGGGAGAACTGACGCATGCTTCTTTCTCTCAAACGGCCAATAAATGTTTGGAAATTGGGAAAACAGGCCGAATACGGCTGTAAAATGGACGTATTTCTGCCCAACGGAACCATGTGCACTATGACGTGAGCCCTGTTATGCTTGTATTCTTATGGGTCACAGGGCTCATGTCCTAATGCACATAGTTCCGTTTGTCAGAAATACGTTCGAATGAGTTTTGTCCACAACTTAAATGACCGGCATACACTGTTCATAAATTCAGAAGTGAAATCCTGCAGGCTGATTATTGAAATTAATAGACAAAGCTATAGACAAAGGAGGCAGAAAACCGTGCGATCCTTTCAGTAGAAGTGGGTGCGAAGCGATAGACTGACTAACTAACGGCAACCTTCGAAGGACCTTATAGTTAGTCCATGACTTCCCCTTAGTCTATGATAAAAACCCGTTTCAACCAATAGGATTGCTCCTTTTTCTATTTGTCTTCTTTTTCTGTAACTTTGTCCATCAGTTTCAATAATCGTACTTCAGAGTACAATCGTGACTCGAACTTATTCTGCTCCCAAGAAACTCAAGCGATATGGATAAGAGGTGATATTCGCTCTGTACGAGCGGACTAAACTCTTTTTGTAGCGTGAGCTCCCCTTAGCGAATCCTTTCTACTCAGCTGCGGAGCAAATTTCTCTCGTCAATCAGTTAATCATATCAATCGAATTTTCTAAGAGCAAAATTTACTCCAAAGTTGACTGATCCCTGGATTTTACTTCATGATTTCTAACAGTGGACTTCTTGGATTCCAACAAACTTAGGTTGTTTTCTACTAAACTCAATTCATGATTCAAAATGCCTGTGGTTACATTGAACCCTATAAACTTTAATGAATTAAAACCTTTACGATGGAATTATAATTTTATTTCCGGTTTCTCTGAGTTTATTTTATTTTCATGTTTGAATTTTATAGGATACTTACCGGAAGATAATTTCAAAATTTCTTCGTCGGACAAACTCCCTCTTTCAGCAAAATTTTCCGTTCAATTTAATCATTCAATTTTATTTATTTTCATCTGTGAAGCGGTAATGTTTCTCACGCATTGATGTGTATTATAATTGCAGGCATCTGTCAAAAAATTGGATACATAGGATCGAAAAAGGTGCTTTTCGAGGTTTAACGTCCCTCGGAAAATTGTAAGTTGACCTTGAAACTTGGCATGGTTGGGTATCATGGTGAAAGGTCACTGTGTACAGATTTTGATTCTACTCTCTATACTGATATATCTTTAAGAGAACACAGTTGTAAACGACATTATTTTGTAAATATTTTATGTTTCTTTTTTCGATTAAGCGCATACGTTTGTCGTCTGAAGGATGGTGTGATTCAATTCTGGTCTGATTTTCCGTCTTGTATATACCTCTGTTTTTCTCACTCTGCTTTTATTAACACAATCTCACCTTTCTTAATAACACGTGACGTGGTCCGATGCTGTTTCTTGAGCTTGATATTCGTCTTTAAGTTAAAAATTGATAGGAATAAACTTTCCTAGATCATATATTTTATTGAACGCCCCGAAAAATTGTACATAAGCTTAAAAACTTTCAATGTGTTTTTGTGCGACCATTTTTTTAATAACAAGCTAGCGGAAGGTATGAAAAAATAAGAATGTGGTAGGGATTTCACCGTGCAAAAAACGTATAGTGCTCTGGAAACATTATTTAAAGTTTCTTTTGATTTATGTGAGCTTAAATTTTTGGATCAAAAATGTAACTTTACATTCTGTATTGACGAATTCAGGAACTAACTTGACCCTTAAACCCATCAAGGAACTCCATGTCTTATTTCTTACACTTTTCAACACATTTTTCGGATCCTTTTTACAGATGGTGAGTATAGAATGACAAGTTTCCTCGTTCGGGTACAGACTATGATTTAAAAATCGATTCTTTCAGAGAACTTGCTAATTCGTCGTTTCCCGAACGAAAGAACGTAACCAGAGGCGGATCCAGCAATTTGGCAACACCCTCCATTTAAACCTATGTTAAATAATCGATTCTTGTTGGAGCATCCGGCTCCTCCAAGCATCGATACATTTCCATAGGTTTAAATGGAGAAAAGCAATGTTGCCAATTTGCTGGATCCGCCAATGAACGTAACTCCGTTCCAAGTTTGCAAAATTTACTGGAACAATTAATTTTTTTTACAAGAATGCAGTCCTGTGCAATATTTGGAAAATGTTTGGAAATTCGAGGACAATTTTGGACATTTTCCTGATTTTTGCATGAGATCAGCAGAAAAATCAGTGAAATTTTCTGTCAGAAATACCTAAGATTCTCTCAGTAAAAATGCAATTTGCGAGTGAAAATTTGGCAACGCTGAAATTTACTTATGTTCCTTATTAAGGGAAACGAGTAATTCGCGAAATTACACCCCCTGAAATCGGGGTCCAGCCACAATTTTTTTTATTCTCAGTGCCGTCCGTTGGACCGTCTCTTGTGACCTTGGGTATGCTAGCTAGTTCTGCAGAAATAATAATAAGAAGAAGATACATTTTATTCTTATTTTCTCCCTTATTCCCAAATTCCCAATTTTTTCTTCCCGAAGAGTTTTCCGTCTGGCAGAAGAATATACTCCGCGATCTGAGAGAATCCGCAGGGTCAAATAAGGGAGGAAATAAGAACTTGTATCTTTTCTTATTATTATTTCTGCAGAACTACCTAGCATACCCAAGGTCACAAGAGACGGCCCGACTGACGGCACTGAGGATAAAAATCCAGTGGAGGGTACACATAGTTGCTTGTGACAACTTAACATCCCCGGTGACTATCATCTTTCCTGCTCGGTACCGCACAGTGGATCGAGTGAATCAGAGAGGTCGGGCATGAAATTCTTGACTACAACTGCGAATTTCGATGTTTAATGGAGATGTTGCATGTGTGAGGGATTCGCAATTTGACCATTGATTCTTATGTAAAAATTTGCGAGAAACACGATGGTGCCACTGGTTTTCTCTGAAATCATCTCCCAAGCTCAAAAAAAGCTCTCAAAGTGAGGATAAAATGGAGGGGATATCCCACCCTACCCTGAGAGTCCACCTCTAAATCAAAACAAACTCTCTATGCAAAGATAAGGAGCAAATATATTAGCAGGGTTGCCACTTTATTTGGGGGACTCCAAAACTGAAAACACGGCAGCCCTGCTAATGTATTTGCTCCCTATCTTTGCATGGAGGGTTTGTCTTGATGTAGAGGTGGACTCGCAGGATAGCGTGGGATATCCCCTCTATTTTGGCCTCAACTTGAGAGCTTTTTTTGAGCTTGGGAGTTGATTTCAGAAAAAACCAGTGGCACCATCGTGTTTCTCGCTAACTTTTACATCAGAATCAGCAGTCAAATCGCAAATTCCTCACGCATGCAACATCTCCATTCGTCTCATTTTAAATTTTGAGGGATGCTTCCTATCGGAAATTTTACAAGAAACCCCATGAAAGTACTCTTAAAAGCTGAAAGTTTTGTGTATACGGAGTTTCGAGCTTTTAAAGATTCCAAATTTTGTCCGAGCCCTCCCACTGACCTGATTCACTGTGTGCTGCGGCGCGGCGAGGGAGTAAGGAGGTAACCTCCGTCGCGATGCAGTACAGAATACAGCGCCGAGCTTAAATTTCCGAGCGATTAAGCTGAGCTCTCCTGCAAGCGGTCTCGAAAGTAACTACATAAAAGTGCGCTCCCTTTAAGTCCCCTTCCTTTGCCTCCGACTCCTCAGACTCGCCGTAACTTGAGCGATCGGCTGTATTTAAAAAGACGCCTATGTTGCCATCCAGGTCCAAAATCTGTGACAGGAGCCGGTTACGTTGGTCGAGAAATGAACCAGTGAGTTCGAAAACACACCAATTCGGAAAAAAAATATGTTCAGGAAACACCTAAAACTGCGCAGCGGGCGAAGAATTGGTTTAAGAAAAACCTTTTTGGTGCCAAAGGACAATTACTTGGAGACTTTATAAAGCACCAAGTTGAAATCGATGCACATGTTCGATGACAGAGAATTAAGCGTTTAAAAATTTCCGAGTTGGTGTATTTTCGTTCTCACCGACTTTCAGATACTGATTTTTCATAGTCTGCCCTGAAAATGAGTAAATTTTAAGGTAGGTATTAAGTGTTTAGGTATTTAAGGTAGTAGAAATTTTTCTACCGCATATTGCACTCTTTGTAGTGGCAAATCATTATAATCTCTTTCTAGAATCCATTTCCAAGTCATACTACTCGAGATTTGCAAAACTTTTACTTTTTATAATTCTACTATCCGGGCCTCCTAAAAGCTCCCTAAATCATTTTGTAAACCAAATGGGGTCTTCCCGAAAAAACAAGCCTTTTAAAGAAAGACTGTGAAGTTATTATACGCGGCAACTGTGGAAACTCGCGACATTTTTTTCAAAAGCGTCCGATAAATTTCATTCGCTTTTTGACAAGGTACATCAAAAATAAATCACCCACCATCGACGGGAAGAGAAATTATCGAGGAAAGTACCTACTCTCTCCCTCGAATTTCTAAATCCCCTCCCCCGCATTCTCCTGCGGTTTTCTTTTTTCTCAAAAGGGTTCCATTTCCCAGTCTCAAAAGGTAAGGTGGCAGCCAGCCGCCGCGCCGTGGCGACGCTAAAGGCTCGCCTATTCAACGGGTTCCTGAAATTGGCGTTTTTATGAGTCTAAATAATATCACGATCGCGGTTGACAAATTGCCTCATAAATCCCCTACGATTTTTCTTGCTTCGTTGGTCGAAACTTCTGCTAGAGCGAAAACAAAAGTCGTCGTAAGGAAAATTACCCAATTACCTATAATCACATAACGGTCTAGAGACAATGTATCTTAGGGAATCCGCAATAACGATCTGCGTAATTTAATCGCTTGAGGCAAAAGTTAAGTTAAGTCAGGGCTAATTTTCGCCCAATGATGATTGATGAGCGACTTGTCTAACAAAGAATGAAATAAAATTTGCCTGATTATGAGCGATGAAAAGCGATGAGCGATGTCGGGGTGAGCTTTTGCTAGGGAAGTTTTTGCAACTTAGGTTAGGATTACTAAATCAAGTGCTCGATTGGACGTATTTCTGCTGAACGAAACTATATGTTAGTTAGTTAGTTAGTATTGCATTATGACGTAAGCTTTGTCATGCATATACGCTTATGGGTCTCAGGGCTCATATCATAATGCACGTAGTTCCGTTTGGCAGAAATACGTCCGATTCTCTGGTCTCAAGTCATCATTGGGCGATTTTGAGCGTTGACTTTCAAAAGTAACTTTTACTCTTTCGAGAAAATAGCATCGGTCTGTAAACTATAGTGTCTCTGAGTACAGCTGAATAATCTAAAATTTACCTCTAACTTTACAATCTGGAAAAAATTTCCGCATTTTCGAGCTTCCGGCTCAAAAGGTATAGAGTCCATACCAACTAAGTTTACGCACTTTCATAATGCGGCAGAAGATCAGTTAACACGATTTCCATGTATGAGAACTTATCTGTAACAATAGCGGATGTAAAAAATTACCTTTTCGAAACACGCTTAAAAAACTGTTTTGTTCACACAAAAATTTAATTTGTTTGGCTCTGGCATGATGTACAGATCTCGAAGATCACATCTCAAGTATTTTCTCAAAATTTTTTCGATGCCAAAACAGTTTTTTTAATGTGTTTCGAAAAGGTAATTTTTCACATCCGCTATTGTTACAGATAAGTCCTCATACACATACAAGGATAAGTCCTTTTTTAAATCTTTCAATGTAAATGGAATCATTTTGCAAAATTGTATCCAATTTTTATACAATCGAATGATAAAAGCTCGATTTGGCATCTTGAATGTGGAGCATTTTTCCAAGCTCTTTTATGCGTGCATAAATCAATTCAGAGAGGAGATGAGGAAGGGGTGTATTGCCACCGTTTTACGCACTTTTCAGTTTAAGTAGGGATATAAAATACGGCTCGAGTCCAAAACGGGAGTTTTCCTCCGCTGCGACAGTTTCCTTTACAGGTGCATCTTTTCTCCTTCAGCGTCTTGAATTAATTTTAACCTTCCCAGACGGGAGTCGAAACAGCCTGTCCCGGCTGCCGTGTTAAGGAAGAACGCCGTATCAGCCTCCGGATATTGCCAAATTTCCATCAAGAAAAATCAGTATTTCTGGGAAACTTGTGAATGTTATC